ACAAAGCACAGGGAACCATGACAAACAAAATGATCCGACACAAGACTGAGACAAGACAGGGCTTAAATACACAGAAAACTAATTAGGGCAACAAGACACACCTGGAGCAGACACAAAAGGACACAGGTGAGAGAGGGTGGGGCTGCAGGGCAGAGAAACACAGGGGAACACTGAAAACACTAGAAAACTAAGGAAAATAAACACAGACCATGACACTAATTTTATGACCAGCACCTGTATATGTTGCAAAATTTATAAAGCCACACTGATATGGTGGTCACACTGTCTGTTTTCAAAAAAGCACATAAATTATGAAGTTATTTTATTGTGTCTAAAAAAACAAGCACATTGGAGCAGCAAACCCAATGACAATAAAGGCAATTCTGCTTCTGATTGAATGCACATACTGTACAACATTTGAAGCCCGTTTGATTCAAGACTGGCTCTGCCAACTGACCTTAAAAAACAATAATGGCTATAATTCAGTTTTAGATATTTATCAAAAACTTTGGTGTKGTAGTAGCTGAGAGTTCTTCTCAATGCATACTTTGAGAAGAGGTGGAGGTACTAGTTGCATATAATCTACTACAATTACTTGAGTAACGTTTCAGGGAAAAATACATTTAGGAGTAGTTTTACTACATCATACTTTTTACTTTAATTGAGTGTTATTATGAAGTATCACTACTCGTGATGCTATTTTGAATACATAAGTAACTTCACTAAATGTAGAATAAATGTGTTTTAGCCAGAAATGCAYCAGAGAGACACACAGTGGTGGACAAAGTGCTTAATTTTCTTACTTGAGTCAAAGTACTACTGGTCAAATATTACTCCAAAAGAGTAAAAGTAGCTCTGTCAAGGTATTACTTAAGTTGAAGTACTGGATGTGCTCCATATACCAAATGTTTTTAAAATCTTGAAGTTTTTTTTAACAATGCCTTTCACTTGAGTGTAGTTGAGAATAATTTGAAAAATATTCTTCTGTATTGAACAGAGGCATAACCCCAATTAATAATAATGCATTTGTCTTATATGAGTCTTTTCAAGACGCTTCACAGTTTCATGCATTCACTCCTCAGTCACACTCGGGGGTGGAAATATTGAAGTCATTCTGCACTTACAGTCCCTCCAGACCACCACAGTCACACCAACAGATTCATACATGGGAAATGTGGGTTAAGTGTCTTGCCCAGAGACACGACAGCAGTATGTCAATGTCAATTTTATTTATATAGCACATAAAAAACAACAGAAGTTGGCCAAAGTGCTTCACAATTAAGCCAAATGAATAAAACAATTGAGCAACACATAAATATAGACAGTAAAATCAATTTAAAATACAGAAAAACTTTAAAAACATTATCATTAAAAGAATCTCAAACTCTACCAGAATGAAAGGCCAGGGAGTAAAAGTGAGTTTAAAGTAGAGATTTAAAAGTCTCAACAGTCTCAGCAGTCCGTATGCTAAGAGGAAAAACCATTCCAGAATTTTGGGGCAGAGACTGCAAAGGTCCGATCACCTCCAAACTTTAGCCTGGATCGAGGAACATCTAAGAGGAACTGGTTGGATGAGCGAAGTGCTCTAACTGAAGTGTGGATGTTAATGAGCTCACACAGGTAGGATGGGGCCAGACCTTTTAAAGCTTTAAAAGTAAGCAATAAAATCTTAAAATTGATCCTAAAATGAACAGGAAGCCAATAGAGAGAAGGCAGAACCAGGGATATGTGTTCGTATTTTTTAGTTCCTGTTAAAAGACGAGCTGCTGCGTTTTGGACAACTTGTAATCGATGCAAAGAAGATTTATCTAAATCAACATACAAAGAATTACAATAATCCAAACGAGRTGTAATGAGAGCATGAATCACTTTCTCATGGTCCTTGTTTGGGAGGTATGGCTTCACCTTAGCAATAAATCTAAGTTGGAAAAAACTCGATGTGCTTGGGCAGGGATTTGAACCATAGACTCGCAAGGCGATCACCTACCCCCTGCCCCACTTAATCTAATTATACTGTGTTTGTCATCATAAAGGCAAATCTAATTCATCTTAGTGTCTCTACAAGTTGTGAAAATAATTTGACTAGTGTTAAAAAAATACCAGAGATTTGAATATGAACGATTAGGACATTTCTTTAAAGCTACGCAAGTCTCCATTTGACTATACACTATGAAATTCAAAAATATATCTTGTGATTTGAAACTTTGAAAATGTGCACTAACAAGGTCACTCTAACCCTCGCCTGATTTCACTGTACTAAACTTTTTTTAAATCAGTGACATGTATCTCCTCTCTATAGTACTCCATAAAAGATCACATGTAGAACACTGAATAACTAGGACAACACATTTTTAAATAATACAATTTTATTAAAAAAAAGCTGACAGCAGTCAGTAAATGAAGTTTACAACTAAGAAGAAAAACATATTTTCAAAATTGGCAAAACCTTTTGGATTAAATATTCAGTACTGTGAAATGTATGTAAGTATAAAAATAAGAGAATATTACAATGTAGAACATAATATTAAAATAAAGTAAATCATATTTTGATATAACTGTGAACCTTTACAAATAGAAAATGGTCAAAACCCACACAAAATGATAACCTGAGAATAACGTTTGACATGGTTTTTGTCAGACAAAAACTCTTAAAGTGAGTTTGAAAAAGAAAAAAAATATTTTATTACTACCTGCAGATACACAGTTGCACAGTACAAATATAAGACATACATATAAGAATGATTATCACATAAAAAGGTGTATGTGAAATGAATATGTGTTGTTTACATTAAGTTCTGGTAAGTCACTGCACAGTTGAGCTGTTTTATCAAACCTCACCAGGTTTGTAAGGGAGGCGAAATGTCTTTGAAACTTCTTGTTGACTTCCTGAATTGGTGACATTTCTGCAGGGACTATTTCCTCTGTTTACTCTGACTGTAACACGTGTTCAGACTTTTAACTCGGGGCAAAATAGCAAAAATATTCATACTCATGCATAAGTATCAATAGTAGTCATTTCTGTGGAACTTAGCCAATTACGTGAGTTTACTTTGAAGTAAATGTTACTCTTAAAAGTGTTGAAATGTTACATAAAAGGATTGTAGTAAGAAAAAAATCCAGGACTGTCATTTTAACGATGATTTTACATTATTTACAACCAACTTGAAAAGATTAGATGATTCTATAGAAGTGCATATTTTCTTATTTTACAACTCAGAGTGAGTCAAGTACTCAGAAAGTTGCGTTGCTTCTCCATTTTGTTTCTTTGTAAAATGCAAAATAGCAAAAAAAAAGAGAAGTTCTCGTACACCTCAGACTGACCTAATTTGAGAAATCTCTGAAGTAAAAAATAAAAGAAAATGACATGAAAGTGCTCTTATTTATGGCATCACAGTTTCCAAAGGCTAGAATGAGAAAAGAGAAAAATGAACAGAGGTGGCATTTCTCTGTAAGAAAACAAGAGGCACAGTTTGCTCAAACTGGTATTTCCCCCAACCACACAAACTATATTAAAAAACCATGTTTTTCTTATCTGGTCTGCTGAACAGAGCAAATACTAGTGGAAAAAACTGAGCAAACAACAAAAAATAGGGACTTGTAGGTATCAAAAATTAAGGTGAAATGGTTTCCAGCAGCTGATATGAATGTACTAATTTAAACTTTAACAACATGCTGTCCAAACTGTATATTTCTCAGACTTGTCCTATTGCCCCATTATAACATGTTACATTATATAAAGTCATAAATTTTATAAAATCTGCAGTGAAAATATGACATTTTAATAGAACTGATTACACAAAAGTCTATGTATTCAAGTTTGAAATTACTACACTCACCACACATAAATCTGTTTCAAACACAAATAAAATAAAACAATAAATGTTCATATTTGAACTGTGTTTCAGTTGAAAAAATGACTGATGTATACAGGAACAGGTTCAATCCTTTAAATACCCTGCAAACCTACAAACAAAGGTCAAATATTGACCACAGTTCAAGTTGAAAACACATCGGCTACGGTGGACCTCTTCCCGGATACCGTTTAGCGCCGCCTACCAGAAATGGCACGCATTGGTTTGTGGGATTGTTTGGAGACAGCTGACAGTGAAGTTGATTATGGGRCGAGTTCTCAAACTTTAAAGGTTAGACTGTTGCGAAGCTGAAAACTTTTCTTTTTGGTTTGTGATTTACCAACTTCTTATCAGAAAAAAGACAAACTTGTCCAGAACTTTTWTGCTGCTCAAACATTGGAATTAGTGCCTAAAATAGCAATGTGGAGAYGCAAAATAGAGGTAAGGTTATACAGTTGAGCAATAATTTCATTACAAGTATAATGTATTTATTTCTGACCCATGATTAATTAAATACTGAGTAGAAAATGTCCTTCTTTGCCACACATCAAATTTGGCAAAAATATTAATTGAATTGGTGTTTTTGTTTCAATGATGGTAAATGCATTTGTTATTGTGGTCTGTAGCCTTCTGCAAGGTGTATAGTTAATCAATAATATAGTATACAATTATATAGTTGTATTCAAGTTATCTTTTGTAATAATGAGTGGTCAAAATGACACACGGCCAAGATCTCTGTAAACCATGTATTAGCACTAGACCTGTACTATATTACTAAACCTTGTGACAATTGGAAGTTTTCATTATTGTATATATTCTTACCTATTTTCATGCATCTGCGATTGTTTTTGCACATGTACACGAAGTAATACACAGCACAGCAACTTCCACGACACATTTCCAAAGTTATTTTGTAACAGACCAGCACCGGATGCCCCCAAACTGGACCACTTTCCACAAAAAGGTCCATACAGATCAATTCCTAATGTATGTCTAACATACAACTAACAATATAAAGAAGTGAACATTTGGTTSTAAATCAGACGGTGTTCATCTGGTCTGAAATTTCACAGTATTAATTGAGGAAACGATGTCACCTCAGGGCTCCAGGTTGAGTTTGAGTGAAGTTTCACTGCTGTCACCACTTTCCTCCACGGGTCTCCGACACAGTGAGTCCCGRGCTGCAAGCAAAAATGAGCATAAGAAACCATTTCATACCGTTTTTAGATAAACTCACGAAACAGTAAAAATGAAGGGYGGATATATTCATCATTTCACCCAAGAAAAATCAAATACACACAAAATTAAATCTTTTTTTCAACACGGTTAAAAATACTCCAAAATCAAGTTTTGCTAAATAACTGCACTTTCCAACATACGTTGCGTTCTCTTTTTCTGGGAGCAAGGGGKGATGTGCATCTTGCAGATAACAGCAGTCCAAACAAGAAGTCCAACAATTCCCAAACAGAAAAGGACCACAGCTGGAAAAAGAGAGAAGCCAGATTTATGATACTCTTTAATCTGAGATTATAAGAAGAAGAAAAAAAATGCAACGATGTCTATGGTTTTACCAGTGTGGTTGTTTGAAAGAAAGAGAGGAGGCACGTTGTCTTTCTGTGGTGGAGGACTTGTGGTGGAGGTGGGATTCACTGTTTGATTCCCCTCATGTAGACGAGGTCTTGTTGTGCGTAGTTTTTCAGTTTTTCTGATTGATGTGGAGGGTGTAGTTATCCGAAGGTTACCGTTGGACTCCTCGTTACAAACAGCATCAGAGGTTGAATTTCCAGGCTTCTTAACTCCTGTTTCTTGACATCTAAAATAAGAGATTAAAGATAAAAATAAGTTTTTAGCCACAGCTGAGAAAGAAATGATTGTGAATTCAGATTACTGAAGGATAAGAAAACAATCATCCTACTCGTTCCATTTCTGACAGTGGGTGTTTTCTTTTGTGCTGAAATATCCTTCCTTGCATTTTGAACATACTGGCAGAGAACAAGAATATAAATGTATATGTTATTTTACTTTGTTTGCTTATATAGTGAATGCTGAAAAACAGTTACGACTGAGTTATACCTCCATCTTTGATTCCAGATCCTGGTTTACAGTCGCACTCGGAAGGATCACCAAACAGGGGAACAAATCCTTCTTTACACTGGCATATTGCATCACTAAATTTGGTACACGATTCTTTAATGTAACTTCCTGCGACAAAAAAAGCACTTTATAGTTTAAACAAAACAGCCATCCATTTCATTTCTAAACAGTTAAAGTATTTCATGTTAGGCGAGGTTTGGAAATTCCTCTTTCTGTTCAGCTTGTCTAAGTCAGGAGTTTTCTGGTCTGAATGTTCAATTCTTCTTTTTCAGTTTAGTATTTGCCAGGCCAAAACAAGATTTATGCTTTTCTGGGAGGAAAGTGAGGCTGGAAATACCCTAAATGTGATTGGTAATGTGAATTTAATTGCTGTTACCATCTTTCATATCACTCCRTTTAATCTGATTCTACACATGTTGTCTGTAAGCAGTTATTTATAGTGGTGTTCTCTGTAGGTCTAAGCAAAGTTTTAAGTCTTACCTCTAAAGCACGATGTACATGTTTTGCACTTTTGAGATGAATTTTCTGTTGGCTGGTAAGATCTATCAGGACAGGGTTTACAAGACTTTTTGAGACGTTCTTCATGGACTCTTTCACCTTTGCATGTTTTCATCAGAATCAGAGGGAAAAAATGGCTTCATTAGTTAAACATAATAAACAACAAAACACTTTATCAGAAAGAAAAGTATAACAAARAAAGAGTTTTACCTCTAGGGCAACTGAAGGCATCTGAATGAATAAAGAGTTTGTTAAAAGTCAAAATGAAGATGATCAGACTCCACCAGAACATTTTCAGTCCTCCTCTAATCCTCCTTGTGATGTTTTGTGAGAACTGACACAGAAAGTGTGTCACAGAAACTCTCAGTAGGGGAGGTGGATTTTTTCAGCCCCACGTTTTGCATTTCAGATTAAAAAAAAGGGTTTCTGTTCCATTCATATAACCTTTTCATGAAGCACATTTACAACAATGCAAGGTGACTAACAATGACATTAATAAACAAAAATATAAATTGCCAAAAATATGAATTCATTAAAACAAGAGATGATAGACCTTACAGTTCAAGTCAAAATGCTAAAAAAATTAAATTGCAGCTAAACAATTAATTACCATACACCTAAAGGCTAAGAAAAGCAAACATGTCTGAAGCTGTGTTTTAAAGCTTAAGACAGAGTGAGAGTGATTCTGCTACCAGTTCAGTTCGTCTACTGAGACCTAAACATCTGGATTATACAGACTGACTGATGCTGAAGTAAAAGAAGTTTCAATAGTCTAACCTTGTTGTGAATGAAGCCATAATGACTGTCTTCATATTGTTGTCAGAATAAATTGATTTAAGCTAAGATATATTTTCTGAGTTGTAGATAACAGAATGACTGTTTATTATATTTTAACAGACAAAGGTAACTTCTAGTTCAGTTAACATAGATATATATATATATATACACTCACCGGCCACTTTTTTAGGTACACCTGTCCAACTGCTCGTTAACACTT